GGTTGGGCTCTCTGATTGTGCTGAAAGAGCTCTTGGGGAATGTCCTCTGTTTCCTGGAGGTTCTCAGTGCGTCCTCAGTTTTTACACCACCCTTTTTCATCAGCACTCAAGTATCTGTTGTTACAAGCCAATTCAAAAATGCAGTGACTGTCACATTGCCAATGTAATACCCATAGCAATTGTAAGCAGAGTGACCTCAGATTGGGTGTGAGTAGGATGGGAATTCTTTTTAGTATTTATGCAGGACTAGAATATGATCAGTTTCTTAACCAGCAATTTAGTCAGGACCATTTTATACAATATTAATTGCATGCAATAAGTTCTATTTGAAAGTATTGTTCTGTTCTCAGAGCTCCCTGCCCAGCAATGAGCTCATGTGGACTGCTAAAGTCTGAGTTAGTGAGAGCACATCTGCCATAGGTGTCTAGATAAAAAAACCAAGGCAGGGAGAGCAGCAGCTAAATCCATGGGGTACAGAACAGAGAAGGTGACAATGGCTACAGAGAGTAACTAGCTAAATGATCAGCTGATATGAGCTGATGTTGAGATCAGCTGATTGATTTACTGTGGGCTGTGGGCTGAGCACTTCACTCAATCTGTATTTTTCAGTTTGAAAAATCCTTTGATGAGTCAGGCCTTGGCTCATTAATGCTTGCTGTTGTTCTGTCACACACAGATACACACACCTGCCTTCTCCTGCTCCCCTTCCTGCTCTCCTCCCTTCCTCCTTGAAATGATACACACTATGTCTTACTTTTGGAAGCTTACATAATTGACAAGCCTAGCTTTGACTGGACTTTCAGAGGCAGCAATGGGGAAAAAAAAAGGTTGACTACCTTAATGCATGATCATGCTCATAAATTAAATGTACAGGCAGCTCTCTATTTATGACAGCTCTTCTATGTAGCCAATAAAACCCACATTTTCTTATCTTGCAAATACTCTGAAATTTTCAAATAAAAAGAAATTATGTATGAAAATGCAGGCAAGATTTGCTTTGTCATGTTTATTAGTTGACTGTAGTAATAAAGGCTATAATTATTTCTAAAAGGGCAAAATTGCAATTTTTATTGTTTTGAGATTGATGATGCCTGCCTTTGCTGCACAAAAAGTTACTGTGTTGGAAAAGAAAAGAAGTTCTAGTAGTCCTGCCGTTACAAAGACCTCACTTGACTTTCTCTTTGTCCAGCAGCTGCCAGCAGATGATCATTTTGCACAACGCCTCTGACCGATGGGGCCAGTGGGGATTATAGGAGCCATCACATCCTATCTATTCCCTTGTAGGTTACCTTCAACCACTCTCCTGCCTGCAACTTGCCAGACATGCAAATGATCCTGTCAATATCACCCTCGCCTCACACTCCACAGCACGCAAACCCTGCAAATAAGTCATGCCCATTTGCTGAAATGGGGGGCTGTGACCCAGGCTGCCTGTCACACCACATCCTGGCTCTCCTCAGTCACTGTGGAGATAGCACTGAGATGTGAACTAAGAGACAGACAGAGAGAGAGAGAGAGACAAGGGCTTAGAGATTTATGTTTAGCTGCATTTATTCACGGGATAATCAGAATCATGTCCATACAAATGCATACGTAGAGTAGAACAACACCATACACATTTCTAGTTTGAACCCAAATGAGATGGATGTTGCTGCCATCTGCTGCCACCACGAAAAACATTCACTCTGGTGAAGACATGCTTGCTCAGGAGATGTGCTATTAGCACTCATTCATTGTCAGTCAGGCAGTGACGGGGCCAGGCTTGAGTCCTACTGGTAAGACACGATAGACAGGGCTACACGGTTTACACACAAATTTTTCCCATTGTTATTAATTTATTGGATAAATTTATCAGATTTAAATTAACTATCAGAGCAATAAAAATGATGTAATTTTAATCCAAACCGGCTGACTTTTAATCAGCTCGATAAGTATTGTGCATCACTAGTGCAAACATAACTTTTAATACAAAACCCAATTCCACTTAAGTTGGGAAATTGTGATAAACGTTAATAAAAACAGAATACAATAATTTGCAAATCCTTTTCAATCTATATTCAATTGAATACACTGCAAAGACAACATATGTAATGTTCAAACTCAAACTTTTTTTTATATTTTTTTGCAAATAATAATTAACTTTAGAATTTGATGGCTGCAACAGGTGACAAAGAAGTTGGGAAAGGTAGCAAAAAATACTGAGAAATTTGAGGAATTCTCATTAAACACCTATTTGGAACATCCCACAGGTGAGCAGGCTAATTGGGAACAGGTGGGTGCCATGATTGCGTATAAAAGCAGCTTCCCCAAAAATTCTCAGTCATTCACAAGCAAGGATGGGGCGAGGTTCACCACTTTGTTCTTAAACTGTTCGACTATTTGTCGACTACACTGTGGTAAGACGCCTCCTCCTCTTGTTTTATTTTGGCTGGACTTCCTGTGTTTCTTTGTTTGCCTGGTCTGGCTTGACTCTTTTCCAGAGCTCCCTCCCCTCCCCCGGTCGCTGAGGCTGAGTGAGACTACACACCTGCTCTACATCTGCAATCAAGGCACTTTAAGAAGCCAGCAGCCCTCAGTCTCAGCGCCTGAGTATTGTTTTCACTCCCAAGTGGTACAGACGCGTCTCCTGGCCTCCTCTTTGAATTATTACTCGTAACTCTGCTCCGTGTGATTCATTGCACGTCTACTCACCTCCCTCTCCTCTGTTTTCCTTGCAGTGTCTCCAGCCCACACGACAGCCAGCCAGCCTACTGGACTTTCTATTTTGCCTTTAACCTGAGTTTTGGACATTAAAACTATATCTTAAGTTGATATCTGCCTCTGTGTCTGCTTCTGGGTCCTCAAAACACACCAGCTCGCCACACATTCCTTTTTAAGTATTCATTTATGCAAAAAACAAACAAACAATAAACATGCCGAAGCAGCAGACATTTAAAAACTCTAATACTTGCTCTCTTTTTTTGGCTTGTCCCGTTGACTTCAACGCTAAATTTTCCTGCAGTTTTGTGACTTACATCATGTGAATTTCCCTTTAAGGATCAATCAAATTCTTAATTTTAATCACGCTATAGGCATGTATTAAAAGACTTACATAAGTAAACTAACAAAAGTGTGGTTTTATACCAAATTAATTTGATTGCATACTGTATATGGAATATTAATTCCGAATATAAGCAAGGACAAGGCAAACGCTAAAAAAACTTTCATAGATGATGTAGCACTCTTGTTTCCGCCTCCGATTTTGCTTTTTTCCAACTTGGTAACTGAAATGCTGGTAACTCCGGTGTGATGTCATTCCCAGCCCGTATGGCTGTCATGTCTCCTCTGCAGCTGGCTAATTGTGTGCAACATGTCTGCAGAGAGGCTGCATGTAGCCGCCCACCTGCCCTCCTCTTCATGACTGTGTTGATGATAAGAGGAGGAAATGGGGTCTTGTATGTGTAAAGGTGGCCTTTGTCTTCAAAGAGAACTGTATCTAAAGTGCAGCATAATGTTCTCAAAATCCTTTCTAGTACTGTAAAAAAGAACAAGATGATAAAAATAAATTTGTGTCTATAATATCTTAAGTAAGCCTGTGACATCTATGTAAGCTTAAGTAAGCCTGTGACATCTATGTAAGCTTTAAAGCCTGCTTTACCTGTTTACTCCTCAAACAAACAGCATGTTCTTTGCACATGTACAGGTTTGCCTTCATATTTACCTTTGGGATTTTTAACTTTAACCATGCAGGTGATATTAGTTCCTTTTAAATCTGCTTTTTACTCAAACTAATGGATATTTCTACAGCAAAATTAACAAAGATCCAAAACCATTTAAAAAAGTCACAGAAAAATGCAACAAAAACATGGAACACAAATAAAAGTACGAAACAACACATTGCATTTTGCACATCTAATCCTAGGTGATTTACCATAGCAAAGTTATGCAACCCAATCACCACAAATCTTGCCACTGCATTTTTACATTGTTACGCCCCAACCCAAGGCGGCCCCATGGGGGTAACAACTATCCTCATCTTTTAACCCATTGAGTAAACAAAACACCTTCAAAAGTTTAACAAGTGATTTATTGTGACAACATAACTAAATTACGAACTAAACACAAAGAACCCACAATACAAATGAGAGGCAGCAGTTCCCCCACCAATTGCCTCTGCAGACAGCAGGCAGCTCTCGGTCTTTAAAGTCCCAGCACCAGGTGAGTCTGATTGTCACTCATTGACTTCACCTGGGCAGCTACGGGGAGACATAAGGGGGAAAACATACACACACAAAACACACAGCTGTAACAACATCCTTCACTTTCTTCTTTCTCCATTTGTATTGTCCTGCATCCCTAAAGTGTAAGAAGTTCTTGCTCAACAGTGTCTCAGGCTGGAGGGGAGCTCTTTTATCTGGTATATATTTCAGATATTTGTGGACATGGTTTGATTTTTGAGCATTGTGCTACGAGGATATGAAATTGAATAAATATATTGAATTTGAAAAGCAGGATTTGAAATTTAAATTATTGTTTTGCAACTGAATTTATCTGCTTTGATTTCAGTTTTGATTTCTTCAATTCCAATTCACACACACACAGCACTTTTCATACATAAACTTATCACAAACTGCTGTACATTACAGAACACAAGAAGGAGAGGATTGGGGATACAAAATAAAATACAAAATAAAATACAAACTGCAAACCCCACCCCCCCACCCCCACCCCTCTGATCTTGCATGCTCTCAGTAGCTTCTTGGTGGTTCTGTAAATAGTGACTTAAATAAGTTTGAAAATGAGATGTTGCATTTCTGTTTAGTCACCTTTTAAAGGTAACAATATAAGCAAGAATACCACTTTTTTAAAGTTCTTGTAGGACAAGTTTAAGTTGATGTGATAAGTGGAAATAATATAACCTAATAATTTAAGATCCTGTGAGAAAAATGCTGTGCAGAGGTATCTTTGTGTGAAAATATTCTGTAGTGTGTAGCAATCAAGACAACCCTGGGTGTGAAACTCACACATTCCTCACAGGAAAGTTTCCTTATCTGGTCCCAGGAAACAGGATATAAATCTTTCCAGACTTGTTTGCACTTTCAGGTTACCTAAATGACCCGACCGGAGGTTGACTAAACCTCTGACTCTTCACGATTGGTCGATTCGGAGAACAGAGACAGAGTTTTTATTACCTTTCAAACTGACTCCATTTGCTGACCATCTAAATAAACATTAACCTCAACCCAGATCTCCCATTTGAGATTTAGCGTCTTAAAGTGTGTGAACATACGGACCCCAGGAAAAGGGGGGACACTGACCTCCAGACCTCGGTCGTAAAACCCTGCTCGACCATACACTGATAAAGACTACATTCCTTTGGGGAAAGAATACAAATGACTGATCATGACATCTTATGCATTCAGCAATGTACTAATCTGTCTAATCATGAAATTTGTGTTAAAATGAGATGTTTCCCATTTTTCTATGTGCTCCAGAAGCAGAATTATCACTCTGACAGAATAAATCCTTTATTCTTTAGTTTCTTTAGACCAACAGCTTTTCAGACTGTTTCATGAACTGTTAAGAGTTAAATTTATTGACTATGGATCATAACTTTACTCTAAGCAACAGAAATGGTTAAATGTTTGGTTTATATTTTAGTTGTTTATTTAGTATTTTTAACCATTAGGTGGTTATAATGTCATTGAATAACCTGAATGTGAGTATTTAGAATCCATTATTAATCATGATGAAGTTCATTCACATGTGTTTACTCTTTTGTTGATCACAGTTTCCATGTGTTAATATCTGTTTCATTTCAGAATAATTTAGCATGTTCAATGTGATACTTAAAACATAATGAGAATGTTTGATGTGATCCTACACTTCATTCATATGTGTTTAGTATCAAATTATTTATCATGAAACCTAGCATTCAATGATATTAATCATAGTGAGTATCAGATCTGACTCTTTTACCAGCCAAAAGTATAAGTTAGATCAAATAATCAGAGATCCAAGGTCCTCTCTGCTTGGAGACCACACGACCCCTCCTCTGTCTCCTCACACACACGCCGGAGACACTCCCAGTGTGAGAAGATAAAACCAGTGGAGTAGGGTTGCTCGCTCTCTTATCCCTTCTGCTCTTGTCCCCGGCTCTTATGCCCCTTTCTCTTGTGTGCTGATTCTTCTCCCCTTTTTCTCTTCTGCCCACACCCTTCTGTGGTGCGTTTCTTTGTTTTCTCTTAGAACTTTTTCTTAGTCTTCTAAGTTTTACGCCACGTGTTGATTCACGTTGATTTTCTTTAACATTGTCTTAGTTCAAGTTTTGAAACTTCAACTTTTTGTGCGCATAGCAATTCAAGATTAAGCCTTTGATTGATTTTTCTTTAATTTCGCGAAGCCATTTTTGAAAGTTTTCTCTGCTCGAGTCTCGTTTTTCGGAGTTATCTGCGTGATTCAAAGTCACCTCTGAACGCAACCCAGCAGGCCCAGGTCATCCTCTGTGCCAGAGTTTTTGAGTGAGACCGAAGAAGTACCCAAACGAGCATCCACAGGATCCACAGGCGCTGGCTTTGCTTCGGGCCCGAGTGCTGCAACTCCTGGCTCATCCTTCGGCTGACTTCAGTCGTCTTCTGAGCTGAACTGCTCGAACCGCCAGTAGCCCGGACCTTCGGAACCTGCTCCATCTTCTCCAAGGACCAGTCTCACTTAAGTATGCAAACCTCCAGAGCTCCAAAGAGGGCTGGTGCTGTCTCATGCGTTCATAACTCAGATATCCTCTTATTCTGGTAATCTTAGATTCCTCCAAATCCACATCCGAGTTTATCTCGACACCAAAGTTAGTGTAGGTTAATATGTTAGCGCACATTCACTCACTATCATTAACTTTAGTGCTCCTAGCCTGACTCAGAATCTTTATTTATTCACCTATTATTATTTATCCTCATTATCTTATCATCATTTATTGCATGTGTGTTGTACCATCATTTATCATGTAATAAACGGATAATTATTCTTCTAAGTTCTGGTCTGTTAGTGTTCTTCCAGAAGTGGAGTCCCTGAAATTAGAATTTCGACTTAAGATATGAGACTGATTAATTAAAACTGACTTGATGTTTGATTTCTGAAATAAACTTTTGTTTTTCTTTATTTTCCCACCATTAAGGATGGGTGGTGCCCCTTTCAACGAGTGCATAAATGTCATAATTTGAGATTATTAATCTTCAGACATTTATTATAAATTCCAATCGCTACAGTATTATTTTCGTGCGGCCTTGTGAGGCTCATTTCAAATCGCTACAAGTGTGTCCATAGACTCTATATACTATGGACAACTTGGCTCTGCCATCCATCATTATATGAATTTGAGGCCAAATTGCTCTCTGTATTTCAGGGAATTTTCTCCACTTCCTTGAACCACCACTTGATCGGTAGCATTTTACGCATTCGGCAGGAGTTGCTGTGATGACTCTCTGCTTAGACAGCATTTTCCCCCGATGATCTACACAACCTTCACACACCCATAGGCTGAATTAAGTGTCAGTTATAGAGAACATGAACCCCTATTAAAATTTAAAAATGGAGCTGTTAACCGAAAAAAGAGGACTTGAACACAAACCAGTCTTACAGTAACTACATGTTAACATCGCAACCAAGGGGAAAAAAAAAGTTTTGTTCCTTGTAATTAATTTCTAAAGTTTCTCACCAGGGGGTGCTGTTCTTGCAGAGGTTTCACCCAGCAAAGAGGCAGATGACCTCCATTCCAGATACAGTCTATAAGTGTGTCTTATTGATAATTTAAAAAGTATTCAAATTGAAAAATACATGCAATACTTACAGTTTATCTCAGTGAAAGTTATAGCAGGCTGTATATATTGTAAAAAATTAGTGTAAAGGATAACAGAGACACTTAAAATTACGTGTAAAACTAAAAGTGGAACAAGCATAACTATGCTTTTATCTCTCTTCTGGTTTCTAAGGGTAAAAAAATGGTTCTGAAAGCACTTTACAAAGAAAAAATTAAGAAAATAGAAAGGAGAGAGAGGGAGAAGAAATTTTTAGGCCAGCTGAGGCTGCCGGTGGGAATAAACCAGCGTCAGTCTTAACCTTCAGACTAACAATGCAACAGAGAGATCAAAGCCAATGACCTAGTTTCTCTTGCCTAATTCAATCTAACCCAAATTTACCTCGAGGGTAATAAAAAGGGAGTCCAAGAAAGAAAAGGAGTCCCCGGGAGGAAGAAGATGCTATAAACAAAAATAGAGAGTGAGGTAAAAACCTAGTGTGGCATAGGTAGACCCCTTCCCCCCTCCCTTTATTGTGGTGTTCATCAAACATTAACAGTGAGGATGAATACCATGGAGAGAAATGTTGCACTTGGAGAACATTGATGATGAAAAGCAACCGAATGCATCTGACAAGGAGTAAATATTGAATTAAAAAATAAACAAGGTGAATGCTCTTGATTATTCACGCTATTGGGATGACAAGGATACATGATAGCAGAAGAAGTAACATCCTGTATCTGGCTGGCCCGCTCATAAAGCCAGCATCCACTCAGACAAATAGAGGGGAGGTCAAGGCACATTCACACATCATTGTGCTTTTGCATTGTGTCATGATTGTGTGATTTCGCTGTTTAGTGTCCTCTAGATTAGGCAGAACATACTTCAGTGTTTCAACATTATCTCACATCATCATTTTCTCAATTCCCACTGAAATGACGGCCTAGCACACACTTCCACAGGCTTCTTTATGATTGGGCACACCTCATTTCTATTCATGTGGTGCAGGACCTTATTGCTTGTTGCTACGCATTCAGAGGGTCTATTATCCCCACAGATCCATGCTTGGGATGCAAGGCTGGTCTGCTTTGATTTCACCACTCTTCTGCTTTCAACACCTTTGTCCCAGAGCACAATAGACACATGCGTACATGTTTCCATTTGGACTGCCTGTATTTGTTTTCCACTGGGGCATGAGTGCATTTGAATGTAAAACATGCAGCTATCCTTATGCATAAATTCAACTGATATGTTTCATCAAGCCTGTGCATAAAGCAATGATACTGAGCTGACAGTGCTCTTATTTGGCATCAGAATCAATGAGGCAACCTATAGGTGCTATAACCATGACTTTTACAGTAATTTTCCCCTTTTTTTCTTTTTCTTCGTAGGGTAGTTGAAGAGAGGCAAGGAAAATGCCTCATAAAACAATGATAATTAAGACTGAACACTATTGTGCCCCCTGTTGGGTTGTCCTTATGTCCTACATGCTGAATGAAACCCATCCACCCTCTCTTCTCCGCAGCAAAGCGTGGGTGGCCCTTCCCTTTAAACAGCACTCGCTTTCACTTCATCATAGGCAGCACAGATGAATGTGAAACAAAGTTTGGAAGCATTAGGAGGTTGAGCTCCCACCAATATTGATGGAAGATCGCTGCATCTTTAACAAGTCATGTATCAGTGGTACAAACTATCAGAAAGCCACAAGCGTAGAGAGGAGAGTAGAGAGAGGAGCAGGAGAAGTAGGCAGGTGTGTGAATCTATGAGTAACTGAAAAGCAAAGGGACAGGATGAGGACAACAACGGGGAGGCAATAATGAGCATGCAATGACTGCAAGACTAAAAAGAGAGAGCTCATTAGAAAAGGAGGTAAGGTGACCAGATTTATGAAAAAAAATACTAGGGCGTGGGCAAAATTTTATATATATATATATATATATATATATATATATATATATATACACATATACATATATATATTCAGAAAGCGAGCGGTACAGTGGCACAGCAGGTAGTGCACGTGCCTACAGCAAGAAGGTCGCTGGTTCGCTCCCTGGGTCAGGCAGGGCATTTCTGTGTGAAGTTTGCATGTTCTTCCTGTACATGCGAGGGTTCCCTCCATTCCTTACAAAACATGCTCATTTGGTTAATTGGTGACTCTACATTGTCCTTAGGTATGAGTGTGAGTGTGAGTGGTTGTCTGTCTCTCTATGTGGCCCTGCAAGTGACTGCCGACCAATTCAGGGTGTACCCACCTCTCGCCTGATGACACCTAGGATAGGCTCCAGCCCACCTGCGACCTTGAAAGGGATAAGCAGTAGGGGAGACCAGGGCTTGTTGTCACATTGCAATTATCTTCTCTACTAGGGGGTGCAACTAAAAAGTGGAATACTAGTTTTATTCCTTTATATGGTCAGGGGTTGTGTCCCGTCCGAGAAGAAAAAGCACATATGTCATTGCTCAGTGACTCGAGCGCCCTGAGAGTGGCAGCAAGTCACAGCAGCTCCTCACAGACTTCTT